GTGGAAATGGGACTGGACCGAAATTAGAAAGGGGAGAGTGGGCAACACCTGTCCATATATGGCAGCAATACTCCATTTTCGGTCTGATCTGTCTTTTGGAACGGTAGAGGATAGCAAGAGAAATCAGGTACATACTGGAACGGTATTGAGAATCTACCATTTTGTCCCAGAATCTTTTGGGATGTATCGTATGTACGAATTCAACTTGAGGTCAGAGTTAAGTTTAAGGTCCTATAGTCGCTCATGACATAGATTTTAATCCTGTAGGAGGGCCGGCAGCCACTCAAGTTAGAAGGTTTCAGAGTAAGAAGCACAGTTTATACGGACACGTTCGGAAGGTAACGGTTAATCCTAGACTTGAATAGGTTAAGATTGTAGTGATCGGGAAAACACCATCTTGGGAGTCGATTCCACAAAACAACGGTTCGTGGGAAGAAGTTGGTCAAGTGGAACTTAGATCTCGCCAATGGGATACGAAGGAAATGAGGGTGGTTCGCTACCATGGGCGTGGCTTGGCGGGTCTTAGTCGTGGAAGAGAGAACTGGTGGAACTAAAGAATGAGGCTCGTCTGAACACTTTTTCATGGAAATAACGATAGAATAGTTAGAAGCTCGCGACTTTTCGTCTGTGGGAAATGGTTTGTAGGGTGGAAAATAATTTGTCACCCACAAGGCCGCGTAGATGCTTTTGAACTCTATCAAGACAAGCAAGTGGGAAAATATATAACGTAAAGATGCAAACAGAATGCGTTCTTTGAGCCGACATCCACAACAGTTCTTTTGTGTTTTATCTATATCTGTATAAAAAGCACATCCCACAAATTATATATATAAAAAAGACTCTTATATATAAATATATATTATATGGTTGTGTAGGAATATGTGCGTGCGTATATACATATATGGGTGTATACGGGTATATATAAATATATGTATGTATGAATATGTGTATACAGATATGCATAGATATATTAAAAAAGCCTCTACAATATGTATATGCGTGTGTGCATAGATATATATTAATGGGCATATATATGTATACATGCATGTAGTAGGAAAACTAAAATGAGTTCTCATACATGCATATGCCTGGGTGGATGTGTATGTGTGTACAGGAATGTATATATGTATGTATGAGTTGTGTGCGTCTATGTATGTATACATGCGTGTATACCTATGTTTGCATGTATAAGTAGGTAGATATGTGTATACAAAAAATTACCTAAATGAAAATTCTACAATACTAAACGGCCCTAATATAGATGTAGATAAAACAAACAAGCACAGACGCATAGACTCTCTTCAAAACGCAAGTACACACACATACACAGGCATATATATATATATATATATATATATATATATATATATATATATATATATATATATATATATATATAGATAATATTAGTGGAAAATATACATACATATGAAAAATATATCTAAAAAATTCCCATACATGTATATTTTCAGAAAAAATTTTCCAAGAGGAAGGATCCAGGTAGAACTCAATGTCTAGGACAGAGTAAGGATATAATAAAAAGGCTTAAACACTAATATTCCATGGTCATAATTTATTCCATTGGAATCGTAAATACGATCCAAATCATCAGACCTACAAATTCAAAATGAAAACAGAAAAAAACAACTCCGGAAATCAAAACAGAATTTAGAGAAAGTGTAAGTATGAGGATGAGTGACATGAAACCTTAACAGAGAGAATTTTTGGAGATGTGGGTGGGGTGGATTTAAAAAGAGGAGAGAAAGAAAGTCGACGGATGTCTAATACATAAAGATACATTTCGTGGTGACATATACACACCACAGACAATTCGGATAGGAAGGGATATATATATATATATATATATATATATATATATATTAGCTATCTAAAATTAAATATTTATTTTCATATGAAATTCTTATTTTTCAATACAATCTTCTTGTCAACGCACTTTATTTATTTGTGAATAAATCAAGCACATTAATCGAACATTTTGCAGTAAATAACTCAGATCAAATTTCAGTTAATATGCATTTCAGGCTACAGACTTATTGATCCCCCCTCGTAAATATCATTTCGTTTGAATAACTTGTATCTTTTTTTACTTATGTTCACCCAATACAAGGCCCAAGATCCACTCAAGGTAGAGGGTAACTGTGCAGAATTGTATTAGCTTAAGAAAGGGCAAGATAACAGGAAAGATATACAGCTAATTCTAGACGTGAAGAGGTCAAGATTTAATTAGTGAATAAAATTTCAGGGTTTAGGCGGAGACGTTAGAAGTATAGAGTTGAAATAGACTTTTAGAAGGGACCGGAAACTCAATGCTAAGCAGGATACAAGGCATGAACATCTATTCTTTTTCAAAAGAACCCCGAAGAAGTTTGAATCGGACGACAGGCAAAGATAAAATTCAGGTATGATATTCAAATGTAATGTCAATCGATATCTCCAGTTACCTTGATCTATCCACTATCCTTCTCCCCATCCTTTCTTCTATCACTCCTATCTGCTCTCGCTCCAAATCTTCTGCGACCCCCTGCATCCTAGTGGGTTCCCGCCTTGCTCGGGGCGTAATGCTTAAAAAAAAACATTTCCCATATATGTGCAGTATTCGTGTAAAATACCATCTTATATTATTAAATAGCAACATGGATTGCCGATATCATTGTTACCAGAATGTGATGCAATTCATAGTGTTAGAACCCGTGAACGTTAGCAATCACGACAAGCAACAAAGTTGTATTGATAACAGATCGTAGAAACGGTTTTCTCTTCAACATAGATCTTAATACATCTTTCTTTCGTCTTTTTTCTTGGAGGCAAACGTCAACATTATATAATATATCTTATCGGAGAGGTTAGTCAAAAAAGAACCTGATCAAACGACAAAGCGAAAAAACAGAAACAAAACAAAGCAACTGGACAAAAGAAAAACGACACAAATTTATAATGGGAAGATGGCCTTGCAACTGAAACATATTTTTCAATTAAGAAAGCAATATTTTATTTAAAG